GGTAAGGTTCTCATTGTCCAAGGGCACTCGCTTGGGATTTACAAATACTTATTTATAATTTATATTATCATTTACTTTAAGTATTAATGTCAATAATATTATTTATATTTAATTATATATTAATTAATATTATTATTTTATAATTCAATATGTTCATTGTGGGTTGCAACAGACATATTAAATACAACCATCTGGCTGAAGATCTTAATTGGGGTTTATTTTAGGAATAGGGCTTATATTATGAGAATCCTGAGAAATTATGCTAGGACTTATTTTTCAGTTAGGTCTTATTTTCAGGGAAATACAGTACTTGTTACGATCTCAGCTAGACATACCATAGACTAGTGTTTCTCAACCTGTAACAAATTGTCGCCCCCTTCAATAAAACCATTATGTAGTATTGCCCCCTTCAATAAAACCGTTATGTAGTATCACCCCCTTCACTTCAAACTTGCGATGCCGAGGGCCAAGGCTAACGCCAAATTCGTACTGCATCGAATAGACTAGTGACTAGTATAATGTTATTTGTTTAATTATTGTACGATATAACGAATAAAATATCTAATTATTCTTAATATAATGTTTTACTATATCACCCAGAAAATTGTTTTTCGCCCCCAAAATATAAATTGTTACTAATCGCCCCTCAACATGGAAAATCGCCCACATGGGGGCAATATTGCCCCCATTGAGAAACACTGCCATAGACTGACTGAATAGTACAGAACAGGATCCAGTATATCTTAAGACTTTTTCATGAATATAGTTTGTCTTTACCTGAATTAAAATCCATATTTCTTGACATGACAGGCAGATACTTTTATTGCCTTACCAATCCATATAATGCAGTGTTTTGTAAATTGGGAGTTTCAAGCTGATTATTGATGGGTTACAGGAAGTATTTAAAATGCACACATTTGGAATTACATAGCCATAAGCTAAGTGCTATCATTTAACAACTACAGTGTGCATCTCTGGAGAACTTATTGGGCACATCCATTGCCGAAGGATTTTGAAGATTGGTAAAAAAAAGTAGTTGCATGCCACTACGTCACTGTGTGTGGAAAGCTTAATAAATAATTTTATTTAAAGAAAATTTATTTTTAATTTTAGGCTCTCGTGCTGGAAGCAATATTGCTACTTGTTGGGCCACAATGATGTATTATGGAGAAGATGGCTACATTGAAACCACAAGAAGAATAGTTAAAACAACCAGATATATTGAAAATGGGTGTGTTATAAATAATAAGATATACTAGCAGTAGGCTTTTATTATTATTTATTTTTATTTTATTGGACATGTTTGAATGTACTAATATCCTTTTTTTACATGTCTGTCATATTGCAATATATTATATCCACACATTAAGTCAACACTTCATTAATTTTTATATACTATAGTTGATTGGTTTTACTGTTATCATCAATAGTTCCTATTTTTTTTTAAATCTTAATGGAAAAATGCAAATGAATACAATTTTTTAAAAGTTAAACAAGCTTCAATTATTTGGATACAAAATGCCTGAAGACATGCATTGCCTGAATTATCTCAGATAGCCAGGCAACAAAAAATAGCTATTTGGGTACCAAAAAGTTTGTCATATTCACTAGTCATGTAACATTATCAGCTAGACAAATGTGGTAAAGTTTAATAAAGATAAGAAAATTAAAATGAACTTACATTTTCAGGTTTAAGAAAAGAGTGCAACAATGTGCATCTTATATTGTTGAAATTTTGAGTCATACAAAAGTGATTTGAAAACATTCTTGGAAAGTGTTTAGAAGACTGAAAAGTATATACTTGAGAAGGATAATANTAGTTGACTGAAGAGGGGCTTAAGAGCTCGAAACGTGTAATTTTTTCCACACGTATCAACTAAATAAAGATGAGAAAATCCGCCAAGTGTCTTAATTTATAGCACTATATTGTGTCAGAAGCATAAACAAATAGCAAAGCACGGTTTCATATCATCAAAACAATCATGATGTTAAAGATGATGCATTGCCTACCTATAGCAATCCATGCTTTTCTGTCACTGCACCACTATAAACAAAGCCAACAATGTTGGGGTGCTAATGGCAGGATGCAAAGCTGTTATTGTTTTTGCTAGCTGTCTGCCAATGATACAACAAAAGACAGGGTTCTGTAGTGAGACTTTCACTTGTCTCTGATGATGGACAAAGATGCCATTTCAGCTTATTTCATGATTAGATAATCATATATTCTGATGGTCTTGTGAACAGGATGGACAGGCTCTGCATGCCATCATATATTGATGGCATGCAGAGCTGTCTGTCCTGACATTGTTTCTAACACCTATGACCATGGGCATCTGCAAAAAATTCTTCAAGGAGGACAAAACTTGGAGACAAATAATTACATCAATAAATTTTATTTTATTATTTAATTTTATGGGTTACTTCACCAGTATACTATAGAATACAGTATTTCATCAATACAAAAAGACAGAAAAGGCATCCAATAGTTGAAAGTATAAGGTTACATATCTCATTTTTACAATTATAATTGTGAAATTTTTTACTTGATTCTAGAGAAGGGTAAATGCCCCATTTGCCCAAATCTGTTGATGCCCATGCCTATCACTGTCACACCAGATCAGCCCAGATGGCAGGCAACTTGATGACATGGAAGTGAACTGTAGAAGTGATATGAAAGGCATTCTTACCTTGCATGAAATTGAACCATAACAGTAATCATTTACAAACCTGTTTGAGGCATGCTGTTTGAGTAATTAGACAATTCTATCAGGGTGTGTAACTTTTTTGTGAATGAGGATATCCTCATTTACAAAAAAGTTTGATTCATAAAAATATCATTACCAATATCTCATATAACAGTCTACCAAAAAATTCTTTCATGATTTTATTGTGTAAACAGACCAAGGGCCATATCTGGTGAATTATCTCTCATCTCTGTCAGAGAGAAATGATGTCAAAAGGAGAGATAAAGCTCATCTTCCAGAGACAAAGGCAATTTCAATCACTTTTAACAATCTCGTCTTTGTTTTTGATGATACAATTCTTCTAGGTTTTATACATGTTCAGGTTATCTGTGCAGTACAGAATTTTAACCTATGAAATTGTAAGTTTTGAAAATGTTGAGTACAAAATTATAGGGCACATGGTGAAGGACTCAAGAGACCAGTAAAGCATGTGGTTTTGTTAAAGATGTTTTTGTGTTGTTTTATACAGTTTGTACAGATTATAATGTCAGTGCCTTGGATAATGTTCTCTCTCTTAACAAATAGAAATTTTAATAACAGTTAAAGAACATTAGATACTTAGGAGAAATTACATGGCAGTATTTTGAAAAATACTTGAGAGATGGATGGCTGGAAGTAATGGATAAGATTAACAGCATATTCAATGGTTCAGTAATTGATGTATAATCATTAAAAATAGATGGAGTTGATGGTTTTTCCAAGTAGCATCCAGTTGTCCATATTAGATATTAAGAAAATTGAGGTTACAGACAAAGACAACTATCTGCTAATCTTCGAGGGATAAAGTCATCCAGAATTGTGTTTGGGGAGAAGCAATGATCTTTCGAAAAGTAAACAATGTTTGGCCAATCAGTGATTGCATTGTTATGCAGACACTGTCTCTTGAAGACGAGAGAAAAAACCAGACTACAGCCCTAGTTTTAAGTAGAACTACCTGTGTGCATTTTTAAAACTCAGCTCAAACCTCTTACTTCTGTAAGTTGTTCTGTAATAAGAATGGTCTTATATCTTTTTATAATTTGAGATTAGATAAATAAAATATTTTTTGAGTGAGAACAGTAAGCCTTTGGATAAAGACTACATTTTAGGAAATAGCGTATTATTTTAAAGTCATTTAAATTTAAACTGATATTCAAGAACTGTTCATTTCTATTTATATCTTTAAGAGATTTTATCACTTTTCTAAATATGTAAGTGTTACTAAATTTGATTTCAGATATATAATTTGTCATAGGATAATCACATTATAAAATACAGGTGGTCCTTTAAACATAAAATGTAGTGTATAAATATGATTTTAAAAAAGTTAAATAATAGAAATTAAAGGGCTAATATTTTATTCTCTATTATAATTAGAAAAAAGAAATTTAAATGAAAATATTAAACTGATAAAATATTAGTTTGATACTGTACAAATTTTTAAATAGCATTGTAATCATGTTTGAAAAATACAAGTATAAAAATATATTTTAATTTTATAAAAACAGTTGATTTACATGGGATTAAATTTATTATCATTTTGATTTTTAAATTTGGATTTTATTTATTATAGTATGGCTTTACTCCAAAAGGATCATCTGTAATTTTGTATCGAAATCCCACATATCTACGCTATCAATATACAGTACAAACTGATTGGCCAGGAGGTGTATATATTACACCAAATATAGGAGGTAAGTTTCATTACATTAAAGTAACTTTAATAGACACATCATTCTTAAAACAATTTATTTAAATTCAAAGAAACATAAGAATTATCTTTACTTTGATTTTTGACATTCTTCTTTTTCTAAGATTTATCTTTCAAAATTATTTCATATATTTTAATGTTAGATTGTGGATTGTGATATCAGTATATAAAAAGATATTAAAAACATTAATCCTTTTCATTTTTTCTTTATTTATTAAGTTTATTATCTACAATTTTTATTTTATTGGACATGTTTGAATGTACTAATATCCTTTTTTTACATGTCTGTCATATTGCAATATATTATATCCACACATTAAGTCAACACTTCATTAATTTTTATATACTATAGTTGATTGGTTTTACTGTTATCATCAATAGTTCCTATTTTTTTTTAAATCTTAATGGAAAAATGCAAATGAATACAATTTTTTAAAAGTTAAACAAGCTTCAATTATTTGGATACAAAATGCCTGAAGACATGCATTGCCTGAATTATCTCAGATAGCCAGGCAACAAAAAATAGCTATTTGGGTACCAAAAAGTTTGTCATATTCACTAGTCATGTAACATTATCAGCTAGACAAATGTGGTAAAGTTTAATAAAGATAAGAAAATTAAAATGAACTTACATTTTCAGGTTTAAGAAAAGAGTGCAACAATGTGCATCTTATATTGTTGAAATTTTGAGTCATACAAAAGTGATTTGAAAACATTCTTGGAAAGTGTTTAGAAGACTGAAAAGTATATACTTGAGAAGGATAATATTTTATACATTTGTAATAATTAAAATAATTAAACTATTTTTTATTAGTTAATGTACTTTAGTTGCATAGAAGGTACTAAAGGAGCTTTCATTATGTACTGTGTTTCCCCAAAAACAAAGGCCTGGTCTTATTTTCAGGGATGTCTCATCCAAAGGTGCTTGCTTAAATTGCTCATCCAAAGGTGTTCCAATAATTTTTATAATAATATAAAAAATTTTAATATAAACATTTATTTATTTTTTTTTTTATGTGTTGTTTACAAATCTGTTTGTACTAAATTTACTACAAAATATGGCAAAAATTAGGTACTTACAAATACTTAATATATAATTTATAATTTATATTATCATTTAAGTATCAATGTCAATAATATT